AGGTGGAGTAGGAGTTGGAGTAGGAGTAAGAGTAGTAGTAGTAGTAGTAGTAGTAGGAGGAGTAGGAGTGGTAGTGGTAGTGGTAGTGGTAGTGGTAGTGGTAGTGGTAGTGGTAGTGGTAGTAGTAGTAGTGGTAGTAGTAGTAGTAGTAGTAGTAGGCGGGCCCCCCCCCTACCAACCATGTTTCCCAGATTGCGCATGTTAAAACCAGGTGAAAACTGAGGAAATACAGGCTTTCGTAGAAACGAAAAAGCTTTGCACTTTCATGCTGGGGATGCCTGAGGGGGGGGTGGGGTGGGGAAGGGTGGGAGGGGTGGGGAAGGGTGGGAGGGGTGGGGAAGGGTGGGAGGGGTGGGGGGGGTGGATGCGGGCATAATTAGTGACGTCAATTCGAAGTGCGCACATGCAACAACTATTGGCATTTACAGCATGTTTGATGCTTTTGCGTGGGTGAGGCAGGTTCCACCACTACCCTTTTCCTCTTCGGCTCTTGACAGCCCACCGCTGACATTTAAGGGAACATAGTTGGTAGGGGGGGGGGTCGCGTAAGCAGAATGAATAAGTAAAACCGCAAATGCTACCAGTGACAAGAAGAAGAGTTTCAAGTGAAATATTTGCAGCCCGCCTGCCACCAGTGCTAGACGCAAGAACCATCTTCCCTTCAAACACGGATTACTAGCTTGTGCCATTTCAGCCCTGATCGCAACAGGTGAGCACGCGCGCAGTGACACTGAGGTCCTACGTAGGCATACGGAACACTAATGTTGTCTATACTTGTATCTGTAAGGGGCTATAAGATATGACTTCCGTTGCAGTATTAGATAATCTGAGTTTGGCGTACCTGGCCCTAACCCGAAACACCACCATGAGCCCAATGTCCATTGAATTTTCCCATTCTTTTCCATTTGCTTCTCCCACTTTCCCCAACCCCCAAACCCCATGTACCCCGATGATGGATACCCGCTCTGTTGCCTCTTGACAAGTCTGAGTCCAGCACATCATCCAGAAGCGTTTGCTGGAACGTGGAGTCCACCTGCAGTTGGACCAGGGCCGACCGGAGCTTCATCATCACCTGACTGGTGGTTGGTAGGGCATGAGGGAAGGGGCCGGAAGTGGATATAGGGATCCATTACAGGGGATCCGGGTTATAGGGACCCAGCAAAGAGGATTGTATTGAGGCTACTACAGACCCAATAATTTATTCCCTACTACCTACCAGCAAGTCACAGCAGGGGAGACGCCGTTCTCCATGGTGAAGCGAGAGGTCCAGGAACGAGGGAACTCCGGGCCACAGCTTCCAGGTGTGAAGGTGCGGTCAGAAAAGGCGGTCTTGCCTCAGGAACTTGAACTAAGGTAGGGTTGCTACTTACTATAACTACATAATATGTTATGGTGACCTATTTTGAACTCCTAAACAGCAAAGCCCAGTTGCGCTTCTTCAGCAGGGCCTGCTCCTCACCCACCAGGTTCCGGACCTTGGAGATGTAGGATAGGTTGGGATCAGGAGGAATGAAGGCGTCAGCCTCCTCCGTCCTGTCTGCTAAGGCCGGGTTGAAGATTCCCTTCAACAACTCTCGGTTATCCTTGCTCATCTCCTTGCCGAAGCCAGATCGCAAGCCTTCTAAGAAGGCCCGACCCAACCTCACACGTGCTTCCGGAGACTTGGCATCTGCACTGCAGGGAGGGAGGTTGCCAGCAAACTGCTCCACCTCTGAGAGGTTGAATTGATCCAGATTCAGATCCACACCCTGAGGCATCTCTCCGCGCTGGCTGAGCTGGAAGCGCTGCGGCATGAACATAGGCCGGCCGGAGGGGCCCAGCTGCATTCCCGGCATACCCACCATGGGGGCCTGCTGCATCGCCATGCCTGGCACTGGGATACCAGGCCGGCGCTGAGCCAACTCGAACCGATCCAAGCCGAACCTGAGTCATCCGGCCCCACTCCCGAGAGCTGGAACCCCATTATAGTAGCTTCCATTTTATTTTCCATTATCCCAATATTACCCCAATATACTATAGTAGTTTCCCCCAAAAAGGGACCATAATTTAGACTGCCTTCCTATCGGCCCATGCGGGGTTCCACGGTAGTTGGGAGAAAGATCCGGAGGGTAAGTCTTCAAGGAGCCAGGCAACTCAACACCACCATAGATGGCATGCAGATTTGTGACCAACCCCGTCTCGGTGTCAACGACCTTGCCGTTCCTTGGGAAGATGCAGAAATGGGAGCTGGAATCTCGAGGAAGGGATGTACACCTCAGAGGTATCTTTGCAGTCAGGTATCTCAAGGCGGATGCGCGAGAGCCCTCGCATGTTCCAGAGCTGCGGGATCTCTGGGAAAGGCTCGGGCACCTTGCTGTCCACGATTTCATCAGCAAGGTCGAACCAACCTTAGCCATGTATAGTCAAACTTACGTAGATAGAATATGGGGTATAGGGGGATCTTCTTATGATATACCCAAAGCCATATTCTATCTACTTAAGGGGGACTATAGGGTTCAGGGTTTAGGGGCAACGGCCCTTGACCTTCTCTCTGGCTCTGAAGGATTTGTTTGAGCGCTGCACGCTGGTCCAGCTTTGCCCCAGAATCCACCAGAAACTTGGCAAGGACAGAGGCCTCTTGTGCAGATGCATGGAAACAAGCTCCCAACGCGAAACATACCAGTTCATATATACGAATGATACTAGGAATGATAGGAAGAATAGTAGACACAGTAATAATAACACTACATATAACCGCAGTAATTTTACTAAAATGGCAAGAACGTCAAGCCGAATGTTCTTACTGTGCCTTTGCCAGCTCACGCAGGTGGAACACCACCTCGTCTGAAAGCGCAGGAAGTTGCTGACACCAACATTTTACATATAGGGATTATGTGGGGTAATATAGGGATTATATACGGAATAGATCATTCAGGGGTTCTACTTGACAAGGCAAAAATGACCAGCCGTATCGTGCAAGGGGAAATGGGCATGGTGGTCATTGCAGACTGGACGATTCACAGCTTGCATCCTTGGGTCTCCGGGCGCTCTTCCTTTCTGCGATCAAGTCAAAGTTGCGGGTGAAGGCGTCGGCAAACCTGCCGCATTTGCACCCACATCTTGAGGAAGCCAGAAGCCAATCTTTTGCGTGTTTGTGCGTCTCAGTAGCCTAGTGCAGCTACTGGTGCAATCCTGAAATGGGACGCGGGGGGGTTTGTCATGAAATTGTGGCCCGATTTTGGTTCTGCCCTGCAGATAGTTGCTCGGGAGCTGAAAACGAACGGACCATCATAAGTTGGACAACCTACCAAAAGTTTCTGCGCTTGTGGCTCTAAAACCACTAAACAACCCTAAACATCAAATTGTAGTTTCCATTTTCTTCTCCATTATCCCTATATAACCCCCATATATCCCTTATATATACCCTGTTATGGTAGTTTCCATTTTCTTTTCCCTTATCCCTACATAACCCCTACATTACCCCTGAATAGTCACCTTCGCAGAGGGTGGTTGGCGCCAGTGATGGGCGCATCTCGGAGGCCCTGCGGAGTCAGCACCTGTCAGCCCAGGAGGGGTAGGGCCTAATTAAGCCAGGGATTTTAGGGGAATTTTATAGGGGCTATATAGGGTAGTCTAGGGATTAAAGGGTAGTATAGGGAATGTGGAGGGCAAATATTACTTAGGGGTTATATCCGGAATGAGAATCATGGTACGAAGCCAACATGTTGGCAAAACGGGCCATTGCTTTGCCAATCCGCAAGGGTTTGGGGCTCAGGGGGTACTGTAGGGAAATTCAGAGACACAATGCATCCGGCCTGCTCGCGAGCCTCCACCCCCATCTTCACGAAAGGTACCAAAGTCTTGTCCTGCTTGCTGAAACGGATATGGTAGTTTCCATTAATAGGGGGCCCCCAACATAGACATCAAAATGCTGTAGTCCTTCCTGACTTTAGGGACACCACCCTCCCCCCCCAAGAAAAAACACAATTTTGGGAACCACCATATACTGCACCTTTGAAACCTTAAATCCTAAATCCTAAAACCTAAATCCAATTTTGTGACACTGGCACCAAACAAGCTGTCCTCGGCCATCCGGACCTCAGCCTTTTTGACCTGGCGCGAAGCTTGAAAACCAAACTCCCAAATTAGACCACGATTGCCAATAACCCGAACCCTAAAAATCCATTTACCAAATCCAATTTCCACTCGATCTCACACGTGCTAGACCATTCTTATTCAATTGTTGGTACTTATTTGGGCCCCCTTTTTTTGAACCCAGACTCGTGATGTTAGCTGGCTCAACAGATTTGGGGCCCCAAACCCTAAACCCAGAAGAGATCTGCTAAGCCTCCGGCCACGAACCATTCCCTGCCGGTCCATTGGTGATGCATCTCAAGGACTTCAGACCAATCGAAAACGCTGAGCATGCCCACAATAGGCATGGTGTACTCACCTGCACAGGTGCTATAGAAATAGATATACCCTATTATGTTAGGTTATATTGGGGTCATACTTGGTACATATTGGGATAATGGGTTTAGGGTTTAGGGTAGGGTATTGCGTAATATAACCCATTATAGTAGTTTCCATTTCTTTTCCATTATCCCACTATAACCTCTATAGACCCTATATTACCCCTATATAACCCTGTTGTACTATAGTAGTTTCCATTGGCCACTGTAGCCTACCAGGAAGTCCCTGAACAGGTTCTACGGAAGCCTTGCCTAGGGCCAGCTCCTTCAGAAAGTAGTCTGCCTTGAGCAGCAGCTGTTTCTAGCTAGATGGGAAGTAGCAGGGTGTAGAAAGGGCAACAAATGCTTCAGAAGTCAAGCAAAAGAGCTTCCCTTGCTTCCTTTACGTACATGCTGCAGCAACAGCTTTCAAACTAGCTCGTATAGAATTTAGCCGTGCTTCACGTCCGGATGTTGTCAACTTGACATAGCTTCAGATGACGGGCCTGAAACATCACATCCCCGACGCTGGTTCCCGACAGCCAGTCTGGCTCAAACACCTTCTTCTGCGGGGTCTTCTCCTCAGCCCATGTTTTCATGGAATGCGAAGAAAGAAAGTGCAACTTTCAGTAACTTTCATGCTCCATCCGCCATGCACTGGGCCAGGTGTCCATATTCTGTGGGTCAACCGGATCCAGTGAGAAGAGAGGCTCACGTCGTCCCTGCCGCCTCACCTGTCACACAGCGATCCGTGATTCACTGCATTGCAGGGAGATATTAGGGCTACATGGGCACGTGTAAGGACATGCAGGGCTTTATTGGGAGATCATTTCAGTTTGGGAATTAGGGAATAATGGAGAATCAAAACGAACAGCAACTCAAGAATGAAATCGAATCTGGGATTACTTAGTGGTCACAGGCTCCGTCAAGTTTGGCAAATACGTAACATCATGTGAGCGGAGTGGCTCCTCGTGAAGGCACCTTACATGCAACCTCCTTTGTGGATCTGCTTCGAAATCTGCACAATACCTATGACCCTTACATGCCGAAATGCGTGCCCACACGTTACATAAACAAAGCCCAAAACCCCCATATAGGGGGCACAATGTACTATTGCAGGCTTCCCTTTGACTTCCCGTTTGCTTCCCCATTTGATTCTCCATTATTCCCAACCCCTACACCCGAAATGGCCCTAGCACACCCTATATATCCCCTGAATCATGATTATATCTGCTTATATAACCCCTATATATGCAATCTCCAAGCGTGCTGCAGCTGCGAGGCCTTCAGCGCCAGCACCAGGTACCTGAAAATCAGGGAGTTTTCCTTTGTACCCTTAGGCTTTGTACCCTTGGGTTTTGGGCCCCTGAACCATGGAATATGGCCCTTAATAAAGGTATTTGGGACCCCAAACCTAAAGTTACAGGGTACAAAGTCCAAGTCTTTGAGAAAAGCCACACGTGCTGAGCAACTACTAGATTTAGGCAGCAGGTCGATAGCAGGGACTTTCAAAGATGGGTTTGTATCGACTAACCCTAAACCATACTAGGGATCACATGGGGACTCCTACTCCTGTCTCCATTCCCTGGTGCTTTCTGCATGGGGAGACTTAGTAAGAAGATGCGACATGTGACATTGGACTGTGGCGGTTATTATAAGTGAAAATAGAGTCGGAAGGCTCTCACTGAAAAAGCAAAGCACAGCTTTCACACGAAGATGTCCATTTATCTCACACCGCAGCGAGTGATCCTGTAAGGATACAAGGGCCCCTTAGAGCCGCCACGGCAACAAAAGAGAAGACTCCTTCACACCACATGTCTGCTCATGCCAGCATGTCCTGTCAGCAGACTCGGTTTTACACGCCCTCAGTCTGACCGTTTTGTCAGCGGCGATGAGGGTTCAAAGAACACATGATACTCCGCAGGATGTGCCAGGAAACACGTTGTACGGAAAATCACGACACCCCATCCACTCGGGCTGTACACAAGGAGTCTCAGCCGAAGTTTTCTTCAGCTGTTGGTTGCAAACTGCCTGCGGTTTGTCAAGAACTCATGACGCTCCTCCGCGGGGTAGTGGATCGCCTTGAGGAACCCCGCAACGTCTGAGGCCTTGCCCGGCACCGGTTTGGACTCGCCATAGGCGCTCTTCAACCACTTCACGTATGACAGCACCTGGGAATCCAGGCGACACGAATGAGCTCACCATAGCTCCACTTGCGGTCCTTGTACTTGGGAAGGGTCAGCAGAGTGAGGGCCCACTCCTGGATCGTACGAACTCCGGAAGGCAGGGGTCCGCGAACCACCGAAAGGATGTTGAACTGATCCTGCTCCCAAAAGGCCTGAGGAGGTGGAGGCCCCTGCGGGCCGCCAGGCACAGCAGCATGGCTGAAGTTCGGTCCTGGCGCAGTCATACTGGCAGTCGGGGCTCCGGCTGCAGTTGGAGGTGGCGGACCGCCGGCGTATCCGCGAGGCACATTCCCGACCATGACATAGTCCCGGGACGTCTGCAACTGAATCTCGCGCTCAAGCGTCTCCACCTGGTTGTTGGCAACGGCTCGGTTGACCAGCTTCTCGATCTCGTCTGCGGCCAAGGGCTCCAGGCTCGGACGAGATTGCTTGAGGTTGCGAGCAGCCATGGACTCTGTGAGGCACGATTGCTAGCTGGGTGCGGAGGCACAGATACAGATCTGCACAGGCAGAAGCTGAGGCCAACTTGATCAACACATTCAAACACATTGTGAATTCCATGGTAGGCAGAGTCGGAACTCCACACGCACTGTAACTTCTGACAGTGTTCGGGCTCTAGCCTACTTCCCTAGGTCATTAAACAACTATGATAACCCTTTTAGGGTACCAGCATGCACGTGGGGCACACCATGACACAGGTTGCTAGTGTGAGGCCGGCTGGCCTTTGACACGGGCATTCTCCTTACGGCCAGACTCCTTGCTTGGACGAATATGGAACTGACACCGCTCCATAAGTTTGAACAGGATATCCTTCGACCCTTTTAGCTTTGTCAAGCAATCAGAGGCCATCTGCAGATTATTCGTCCAGAAGGGCACAACATGACGCTCTCTCAAACATGCCCTTGCAATGGCGTAGTCGATTGCCAAGCGCTTTTCCATGGCCAGGGCACTGCTGCACGCTGATCTCGTGAGTGCGTCATACAGCGACTTGCTGTCAATGACTAGACCAGATGGGTGCTCTGGCTCCCACTGCTGGAAAACCTTGGGCTGCATGCCTGTCAAGGTTTCTTGGAGAAAGGCCTGTGCGAACTCGATGCAGTCTAGACCATTCTGGGCAGACATGGTTCCGGCTGCAGTTGAGCTACGAACAACCCTACGAAGCTTCTTAGAAGACCATTCAATGACCCATGTTCGTCCAGGTTCCTGCTGGAGAACCTTCTGCTCGCACAAACACAGAAGCAAGCCACCCTGGGATTCCCCGTTCTCTCGGGTACCCCAGCCTGCATCAGTAATGGCCAGAAGGCGCCATTGCTCCAGGGCAACACAGGGAAACTTCAGGCATATCTTGCGCTGTTTCATTTCACGGACGGCCTTGTTGAAAAGTTGGAGATGACTGACAGTGGCACGATCCTGAACACCCTGGAGGTAAGATGCAAGGAAGGCCTGGTCCGGGCGACTATGGTTGGCCACCCATGCGAGCTGGCCACAGCAGGCTCTCATAAGTGTCGGATTGGAGATGAAGTCAGACGCGTGACCAAGGTTCTTAGTACACACCTCTTCAAGTTTGTTAATATAATCCTCTTGGCTTACTTCAATGGACCCATCAGGTTGTTGGCGTATCTCCGCGCCAGTATACTTTATCGTTCGGAGTCTGAATTCACCAAATGGCAACCGTTTCCGGAGTCGTGTCAAGCATTCTTGCATTGCGGCTGTTCCGCCGCCAAGGAGGCCATCTACATGCACTCCGCATATTACTAACAACTCTGCGGAAGACTGACAACGCAAGCAGAATACGCATGGATCCAATTGGCTTACAATCAATCCAACAGCTAAGAGTTCCCCCAAGCTTCCTGTCTAGGCAAGAAGGTAGGACTTATCGAAGTGTTTACAGGTAGAGCACCGCTTGCCTTAGCATCAGAGAGGCACCGTGGCATGCCTAGCGTTCGCCTTGGCATCGAGCATGGCCAAGACTTCACACGGGCCAGGGACCGTAGGTTGCTATTGTTGTTGATCGGTTACATACGCCCCAAGGACGTATGGTTCTCCTGGCCCTGCTCCTGTTGGGGGGGCTGGTCGAGAATGAACTTCGCGCGGGGTGGTAAGGCAGCCAAAACCATACTTGCTCAACGCCTTAAGAGAAAAACCCTTCCTTAGAGTTTTTGAACAAGCCTGGGTCCTGCAGACTTCCCAAGGAGGCCACATACATGCCGAAAACCCTGTAGGTTCCCTAGCTTGGAAGGATCTTGATCTGGGGCCAGCATATGAAGCAGACTTCCACATGTGTGCCGTAGGTATGAAATGTGTTGATACAGGGTTGCCTATTTTCAAGCCCACCCGTGTGGTGACCAGTGATAGTGGTCTTGCTGTTGCTTTGCGCCGACACCAGTGTAAGGGAGACCATGAGCATACTCACCTTGAAGGTTCTAAGAAAACCCGTAGAGCCGAAACTTATCCAAAATTCTTTTGTAAGGTTGTCGCAAGCTACTTTGCTTCCCGTGATAAGTTGGTTACCCCTACACATGATATTTTCTTGAATTCCGATGACGAAGCGGACTCCGAGCGGGAATCAGACCCGGAAGGTCCGGCCAATGAACCGGATCGCCAGGATCCTGAACGACCACGCAGGGTGAACTATCCCGCAATGATTCAGAAATTGCACACCAACACGGGACACGCGTCCATTCCCCAAATGTTGCGTTTAGCCCAGCGTGTTCGTGCGCCAGCTGCAGTCATCGAAGCCATTAAACAATTTCGATGTCCGATTTGCGAGGAGTTGCAAGCGCCGCCTTCCCACCGGGTGGCAGCCCTTCGCCACACAGAGGTTCCGAACCAAATCGTTGGGGTTGACGTAGTTCAAGTAGAACTTAAGAAGGATGGACCAGACGGAATGGAAGAACTCAAGTTTAATGTTACGACTGTAGTCGACTACGCTTCAGACTTTGCCCAACAGATTGTGTTGCCAGCAGGGTCAGGGGTGGTTAGTCAGGCTTTCCATTCTGTGTGGCGCAGACCTTATGGTCCCCCTAAGGTAATCTACGTAGACCCCGACCAGCGATGGATGTCTGGAGATTTTCAAAAGTACCTAAGGCAGAATTCCATTACCCTCTTGGATCGTGCTGCCGAATCCCATTGGCAACTAGGTAGGGTTGAAATTGCCCAGAAAATTCTCCGTAGAATGGCCCAGCGCATCTGGCGCACGACTGAGAGACCTCCTGTTGAAGTCATTGAAAGCTGTTGTGCCATCCGGAATGAACAGTTGAAGCGGCACGGTTTTTCTAGTGCACAGTGGTTTCTTGGCCGAGAGCCCAGAGTGCCGGGAAGTCTTGCAGATCTTGAAGAACAGCGTAATGATGCTGTGCAAGATGCGGTTGTTCATGAACAAGACTTTGGCCAGAAGATGCGACTCAGGCAGCAGGCGGCAGAAGCCTTTGTCGAAGCTCATGCCCACAATGTCTGGAAGAGAGCCATTCGGGGCCGGAACAGGCCGATTAGAGGTCCCTATATCGTAGGGCAGAGTGTGTACTTGTTTCGGAGACAAAGCCGTGGCCTGCTGTCTACCCGACATGGCGTGTGGATTGGGCCGGGCCGTGTTGTAGGTACTGAGAGTTTTAGACCTGATAGTCCCATTCCCGGAGTAGTGTGGGTTGTTGTCAATGGTTTTATGTATAAGTGCAGCCCGGAATCCCTTCGCCCTGTGGCAGATGACAAAGTCGCTTTCCGACAACTTGCCCAGCAGTTTCATTCAGGTCTAGAGCACGTTTCGCCTGCTCGAAGAGGGCCAGCCGGCCGCTTCTTCGATGTAACTCAAGAAGTCCTTTGCGATGAGGACTTTTTCACTCCTCCAGCCTCAGATGAAGAGGGCGCGCCGGCCGGTGCATCCCCCTCGAACGCCAGGAATGTCCGTCGCCGGGTTTCGTTGGATGACTCATACTGGGAGGCTCGAGCACAAGGGGTTTCTCCGAGGGGCGCATCCCAGGTTAGGAAGCTTCATCCTGACGCTGAGGTAGAAGGCTCCCCATCCCCTAAGGCCCGTCGCACCGAGCAAGAAGACGACATTTCTGATATTCCTCCTGATTTCTTGACTGACGCTAAAAACCTGTTGCCTTCACCTGAAGCCCTTGCTAGCCAAGAGGGCGGTTCAGGGCAGAGCCCTGAAGCAGCAGAAGCCACTGGAGCCAAGTGAAGAAATTATGTGCTGTGAGTTCTCTTTCGATATCTTCCCCGAAGATGTGACCGAGGACCTCCAATGTCTGTGGATCCTTCTTGAAGAGTGCGCTGCTGTTGCTGCCAAGCCCGGGCAACGCTGTAGGGTTGAGGTCAGTCTCCGTAAGCTAGGTCCCATTGATCGTGAGAAGTTCAAGGGAGCCATGCGCAAGGAGTGGCAAAGTTGGTTGGAGAATAAGGTTACAACGATTGCCAAGTCAAAGGGGATCCCCAAATCTAGGATAATTGGTTCTAGGTGGGTGCTGACCTGGAAAAAGTCCTCTGATCCCGATGACCATGACCTCACCCCGAAGGCTCGACTAGTACTAGTTGGCTTTCAGGATCCCGATCTGGGACGGATCGCCACTGACAGTCCGACCCTTCGTAAAGAGTCGAAACACATCATACTCAGCATTTGCGCTTCAAAGGGTTGGACCCTTTGGGGAGCCGACATAAAGACGGCATTCCTCTCCGGCGACAAGTCGTGCCGAGATCTGTTCTTCAAACCGCCAAGTGAGATCAAAGAGTTCATGAATCGTGATGACGATGACATCCTTCGCCTTGAGAAAGCGGCATACGGGTTAGCGGACTCTTGCCTTACCGCATCAGGGCGCTCTTGCAGAGGGGAGAGCATCAATTGCAGAGGAACAGCTCTCACGGCTTCTACTTGTCTAGCTACCCTGCTACGGCTTTCGGCTGGCATCGGCAAATGCTCCAAGGAAACCCAATCTACTTCCTCGTAAACCGCCTCTAAATCTTCCTTAGGCTCTTCCTCTAAGTCGGGCGTGCCACGCTCGGAGCCGGGAACGCTCCAGCAGCAGTCGCACTGGGCACTGCTCACTTCGTCACCTGACAGCGTGGAAGTGGGAGCTTGCGATTGGGTAGATTGTTTGGGCGTAGGCTTGTCTACTTCTGGGATCGGGTCTAACTTAGCGGGACGCTTAGGGTCACCCTTAGGGGAACAAGGTTGCGCAGGCAGACAACGCTGATCACATGCGGTCTCACTGGGACAGGCTTGTACGGAGACTTGCGAAAACCCTGCTTCAGAACATGGCTGACCTTCAGGCCTCTGGTAACGAAAGGCAAAGATGCACGCTCCATTCTGGTAATGGACCGCCCTCCTGGCCGAAGCAGTTCTTAGAGTCCAGGGACTTAGGGACAGCTTGCCGTCTGTGTCCAGATGAGCTACGCACAGATAGAGGTCTTTGGAAAAAGCCTGTTTTGGAACTCTCTCAAAACGGGGTCTATAGGCACACAAGGCAAAGTCAACATCCATTCCGAAAAGCATTCTTAGGGGGTATCTATGAGTACCAACATCCATCACGGTTTGGAAGTGTCTCCGCTTGTCTGCCTCGGTAATGGGGACCTTATAGCTTTCCTCTTTCTTAGCTTCCTTCGGGGTTATAGTCTTTGGGGCTATAGGAGCAGGAGGGGGTGACTCGACCCTCCTAGGCTCAACCTTCCGAACCTCGAAGGCATGCTCGGGCTCCGTCTCAGGAACCAACGGCAGAAGGAGATGACCATTGCTTGCTTGCCAAGTGAAACGGGACAGAAGGAAAGGATGGTGCCCCAGAGATTTCCAAGCTTGACAGTCCACCTCAAGCCCTGGTTCGTGGAAGAGCGAACTCCATTGAAGCCCTTCAGCTGGACGGGGGGCAAGGTCAGGGCGGTAGGCTCGGGGTAGCCGCTGCTGCAGAAGAAGGCCTTGTACTCGGCAGCAGTCTCGGAGCCAATCATGGAGGTCGTGCAGCCAGTGTCAATGACTGCAAAGTTGAGGGGGACCGCCACGGAGAGGACGTCGTGCTCCTCGATGGCCGGCATGTCATCCTCGCCCTCCTCCACCATGTAGGAGAACTCGGTTATCAACTGGCCATCGACCACGTGGATCTCCTCCTTTCGACCTCTTCGGGCGCCCTTTCCTTTGTCTCGGCCGGAATTGTTCTTGTTGTCCTTTTTGTCGTATCGAAAAGTCGGCTGGACAGGAAGTCCTTCTGAGGCGTAGAAGCAGAACCGGGAGGGAGTGCCACCACGGGCATGTAGGGCTGACGCTCCTTCCAGATCTCCTTCATCTTCTTGCGGCTTTCCTTGTAGCTTCGGAAAGCCTTCTTGGCATCTTGTCGTGCCTTTTTCTGCACCTGGAAGGCCTCCTCGTACTCCTCGTCCTCGGTGTTCTTGGCCTCGCCCGTCAACTCCAAGGCGTCCTCTGAGGAGAGGTCGGGCTCGGACAAGCTGCTGTCATCTGCCGGCCATGCTTTGTCGGAGCACCACGAGGTGGGTGGTCCTGTAAGCGGCCCTCGTAGTCTGAAGCCCTTATCACACGCTCCACGTCCTCGAAGCGGCAGCTGCCACCAGTGGAACGGATGATCTGGCTTCGCTGTTCACGACTCAGACCGTACTTCCTCATGAAGAGGTGACCAAGGATCACAGAGGGAAACACTGGCTTCTGTTTCAGGTGGCCAGCCTCGAGCAGCTCCAAGCTAGCATGCGTCGTTGGGCTCGTTCATCATCAGCCTTCTGGGTCCCTCTGCTCCGGTGAGACCCACTGGAGGAAGGGGGCTTCTTCTTCGGAGAACCCTCAGCCACAAAGCTGCCGACAGTCTTGGGGCCCTTGCGGTCGGTCTTGGGCTCCGTGGCGCGCTCCTCCGGGGTCGCAGAAGCTGCGGCCGAAGCAGTGGCCTCCACGTTCTTCTTCGTGAGGCCGGGTGCACCAGAAAGCTCGGTGCTACTGATGTCACTTGAGGAGGACTCCGCCTCCTTGTCACCTTCTCGGTCACGTAGTCGGCCATGCCTGCGCTTCTTGGAACCAGTCTGTTGCAGCTTCTCTTGCGCAATCAGGCTCTCCAGTCGATTCAGCACAGCCTTGAACCGAGAAACAAAGGCCGTAGGGCCTTCACCTCCTTTTCTCTTCAGGTGAAATAAAAACTCATCGACACACTCATTCAGCTCGGTCTCCGGCAAATAGCGGTAGTGGTCGTCAAGTGCCTTCAGCACCTTCAGCCACCCTTGCTCACTCCGAAGATCCCCAACACTCAGGTGTTCGGTGGCCCGCCACGCTTCACCAGTCAAACGAGTCAGAATCTTCGGACCTGCCAGCTTGAGCTGCTTCTCCTCGAGTGCAGCGATATGCAACAAAATCTTTCGCCTGAAGTGACGATATTCGGATGGAGATCCACTGAAGGTGAGGTCACGGAAAAAGTCACCCTTCTCCGTCATATCTCCGTCCGAACACAGTGAGCCCCGGAGCGAGGCTCCGCTACCATGAAAATAGAGTCGGAAGGCTCTCACTGAAAAAGCAAAGCACAGCTTTCACACGAAGATGTCCATTTCTCTCACACCGCAGCGAGTGATCCTGTAAGGATACAAGGGCCCCTTAGAGCCGCCACGGCAACAAAAGAGAAGACTCCTTCACACCACATGTCTGCTCATGCCAGCATGTCCTGTCAGCAGACTCGGTTTTACAATAAGGGTAATGAGGGATGATAAGTAGCTTCAGTAAGTCAACGAACCCTCACTCCATGCATATCCCTATAAACCGTATAAAATAGCTCAACTAAAACCCCATCGAACCCATATATCCCTGGCTGCTGACGGAGTTGCTCCAAGTTCACTGCTGCAGCTGGTTCTAGGGTGGCCGCTACCCGCACGGTGCGTGCCGCCTGGCGCATGAAAAGGGTTTAGGGTCTAGGGACGCAATTCCCACTCCAGTAGGCCCGGTTCGGGGTTAGGGCTTAGTCTTAGGGTTTGCTATCAACAATGTTCCCTGACAATCCTGCCTAATTGTATATGGTAGTTTCCTTAACTGGGGCGACCCCCATGTACTGTTTTCCTTATTACGGGGACCCCACAATGGTACGCCTCATATACTATAATATGACTCTGTCGAAGTTGTTTAGGCCTGATAGTGCGCTCTTCTACAGCAACGTTAACACTGCAGCAACTTGCAGTTCGAGAAGCCAGGAGAGAGGGAGGCTTATGTTACGACTCATACATTGCAGCCATCTAGCTGCACAGTTCAGGACAAACAATGAGCAATGAGGGCAAGCAACACCGGCACATGACATCATCGTGGCAACTGGAGCCGTGCCTCGTCCCACACGAGGCAGGCAAGTCCCTGGGGTGCTGGGCTGTAGCCCAATCGCTCCGCAATCGTGGAACTCTTCGGTACGCTGTCCATGCGCCATCCTTTAAAATGCAAACTCCACTTCCAGCAATACACAGGACAATGTTCATGGAAGGGCTACGCGGTACCATGCGGTACCGTGTTGACCCCAAACGCCATACACGCGACCGAGGCTCCAATGTCGTACTCTTTTCGATTCTTTAGCTTCTTCTCGTTTTCCTGGCGGCCGGCTGCCGGCATTGCCCCAACACTCGCAAATGCCCCAACTGCAGTCTGTCGGCCTCTGCAAGAAACTTGGCTTCCTGCTCCTGCATGTCCTGCACATGATGCGGCTACGTCAGGATTGCATGCCAGCCTATTTGTCCAATGGCAGCGCCTCAATGACAACTTGGGCCATGCACTCAGGATGCACGCATGTGTTCTTCGGCTTTCCCTCATAGGCCATCCTTGCCACTGCATGCTCTGAAATCTCTTTGCTTTGGAAACTTCTGGAGCGACAACGGCCCATGATGCAGGCGAAGTGCTCGCCGATTGGCATGTAACACCGGGAGCACAGCGTGATCTCTTCGCCATCGTCACCCACATCCCAGAGGCGCGGCGTGCGAAACGCGCCCTCGACAAGCTGAAGCTCAAAAATCGAGGCGGTCTCATGCAATCTCTGATCCAGGTGATGCTGCTGACCCACACTCTCTCACTCACTCAGTGCCGCCTTGCGCTTCTGCTTGAAAGCTTCAGCGGCCTGCTGGGAGTTCGCAGCATGTCTGAGGGTTGTCTTCAAGCGCTATCCTGCAAGAGGTTTGAACGACGCTGGGACAGAGAGCCCCACTTGCCTGAATCACTTCATCCGACGTCTCCTTGGCTACCTTCTGCGGCTGAAACCAAGGAAAAGCCTGCCGGAGTCTAGAGGTACGGCGACAGTCAGAACACCGTTTTGCGCAAGAAGATACAGAAAGGCTCCCATGCTGAATAACTGTCTGTTCCTTGCCTAGGCAATGCGACGACTTGCCTTGCGATTGTAGCCTTGATGAGCCCCATCACGCACTTCGCCAAATTTGGAGTTGTACTGGCGAAGAGCATCCTGCATAGCATGCAAGCTTGCTGCACACCTACCTTCATCGCCTCTGCAGGCCAAACATGAATCAGGCTTGTGGCTGCATGTTTGCAGGTCCTTCTCCTCACGGGTGATCTTGTCATTCGCCAGGCCATTCTGCGCAAAGCTCAAGGATGAAAGGCTCAAGCAAATGAGGGATTCGCCTAGGGCCTAAATACCTTAAGCTGGAGGTTGCTATTCAGACCCATGTTTTAACAAAGTCCAAATTACATAGAGCGGGCCCGTAGCACACAACTTCTTATGTTCCCAAGAGCAGCAGCTGCGGGACACGAAGCCGGTGGCCTCTGGGCTTTCCTTATCACTGTCGCCACTGGTGACCTCAACTCACAAGTTGCAAGGTGGCTCATGCCAGTCACATCGCATGTCTTGGTGGTCCCTATTTCCCCTCACAGGATAGGATCTGAACTCACACATTTCACCAAGCAGCGTTCTGACTTTCACCACCATCACTTGTCGACTCATCACTTGCATCCACCTCCTGGTAGCAAAGCAAGTTTCCCTCGATTGCTTTGCCATGATTGACAGACAGTTTCTGCCAAGATTGAAGACCAAGCCCCAGCAACAAAATCCATTTTACGAATTCCTTTGGCTCATGATTGACCTGTCCGTTCATGCCAGGCTTGAAGAAACCACCTCTGGTCATGAACAGCTCCAATAAATGTGGTCCATCTTCCACCAGCCTCTATTTGCTAGTAGAAAGCAAAGGCAAGTTTGGGAAATACGTCTACCTATGCCATCAACCGAGATGTCCTTCGCGCCGTCGACGTCAGGAAGCTTGACAAGCAAGTCCTGCACGACTTCTCTTGTAGTCATGTAAATGTTGCTCAAAATCAAACTTGCCTTTGTCCTGAAAGCCCAGACCAAGGTGGGATGCCGGAAAACTGCAACCGGTTCTGCATGTATGCTTTGTCACCGCTCCGTAAAACCCCCACACCAACCACCATGCTCTCTGTAACCTCCAGGCTCCTTGTCGCGAAGGGAAATTGTCACCCAGCCCTTGGCTGGGCCCTCGCCCTCCAGGAGCTCATAGCGCAGACGGCCCTCGAAGCACTCCAGGCCCTGCCGCAACAGAACACCACAGAAACTTATAGTATTTCCATGTTCTTAGTATTTCCATTTTCTTTTCCATGATCCCTACATTACACCAACATAATCCAATATTAGTGAGTTTTTAAAGCAGGGCAAGACATGTTCTTGGGTTCTAGCTGAGCCTTGACCTTTGCTCCCGTTGCCAGGCGCTGGTCCGCCACTGAAGAATCTAGGCCTTTCTCCGCTCGGACCTGAAGAACACGAGATCTAGAACTGCGGACATGCCATGGGGCCATGAAAAAGTGCTTCAACCCTCTTCCTTAGAAGTGACCCTACTTCGCAGTGCTTGCAGCGCTGTCAGGTCATGCAGCTGGGAGCAACATGGCCAGTGAGACTGGCTTTTTTGGCGCCCTTAGCCCCGCCCAGGAAATGCAACCAGCCCCAAAATGGGAATTAGGGTTCAAAAATGCATCTCACGCTGGAGGTCTTCTTGTGCACCAATATTTGGAAGCTCCCGATCAAATGGATTCCCAACATTCCCCCCAAACGCAGAACACAAAAATTGAGCCACCCCTTCGATCCTCACGTGGCTCATAAAATCCTTAAAAGCGTTTTACATGGTTCCGACCCTTCCGCAGGCGCGGGCTGAGGCTGAGCCCAACACGATGATTCCGCCCTTTTCTGCTCCTCCAACCTCAGGTTTGGGCTGACAAGCACGACTAATTAGCGCTAGTGAATTACTACCATGATCTGGAAAGATGTGCTGGGCTGTACTGAAGGGGTTTTCACAACTGGTTTTACGCCCGTTTTAGGCTACATGAGACTGCCCATTTCATAGATCATGGTAATCATGATAAGACGCAAGAAGGACTTCTGATCAGGGCATGCCCGGAGTTTTCAGCATTACCTTGCTAGATGTAGCTTTGGATAGGAATGGATTTCCGAGCAGTCTGCAGCTGATAACATAAAGAACAATAAAAATAATGACAATAATAGTGATAGTAATGGTAATAGTAATAATAGCACTATTTATTATACTAGTGATGATAGTAAAACCCTGAAGGCTGAAGAGCCTCTTAGCCATCTGATCTTACTAAGATCCCGGCCACCGTGTACAGGCCCGACACACTCATCACGCAGCCTCCGAAAGACAAGGAACGCAATTAACTTCAATAAATTTAGGAAACCATATTCATTACTATATATATGTACACATACCCATTAATTTAAGTCACCATATTAGCGAGGGACACCAGATTAATCACTATATATATATATATGTACCCATTATGGTAACTTCAGTTTCAGCCACAACTATCCCTAGACAAAGCCTTTGAAGGTCCAAGGAGCTCTAGCTGTTAGCTTGCCACAGGGTCTGCGTCGATTTCTGGGCCGTGTTAGGCCCAGCTTGAGCTTCAAGCTGCAGCGAGAGTCATGACCTCCAGTTGAGGTTTCCCCAAGATGGTAACTAAATTTACTAGGTGTATATATATATATATGTATAAATTTGCTGGGTATATATATGTAGTAATCGATATTGTTTCTCCCAATATAGTAACTTAAATTAATGGGCATACATATCTATTATACATAGAGCAATTACTGAACGAAGTAAGACCATATTCTTCGAATGACTACTATGAGCCAGAGTGGAATGTAAGCTTGCTTTCTATTGGGGGCCATCGTATCCCCACATGAATTGTACTCAGTTGAGACTGGGCCATCCAGAGACCCATGGGAGGCTGGTGTCTGCTGGACTTCATTTTTTCTCGCTGACTCTTCTCAAGTTGGGTGGTGTGCGTCGATCAGCTGCCCCACCAAGTCGTGGAACATCGCATCCACCCCCTCGTTGGTCCTCAACTCTGGCGAGGAAGATGCACAGTAGTCTCCGCGAGCTAGAGGCCATGAGGCAGATGCTACAAAAATATTATTTTGCCCCTTCCTGTGCGCTTAGGTCAGGGCCGGGCAGATACCTCCTCGGCTGTTCATGCGGTTCTAAGACCGTTGCTAAAGGCAAGTCATGGAAGTCCGCAGGTGGAAGGCTCCAGTAGGGTTAACCAGAGGCGGGGAGATGTTGCACAATCTTGCCAAGACACAAAATATCTCATGGAGTGTTGAGTTGCGAAGTCGTTTGCGGCTGTCACCTCGGTGACGTCCTGTCGCAGATCCACCTGAATTCCCAGTAGCTTCTGTGTTGCGTGTTCTCTTGCACAGGCAGCCATGGAGTTTTGATCAGAGTGAAGTGCAAATGAGCAACCTTATTTGCCACCTCAGCTTTGTTCCCCAAGCCGGAACAGCGGCAGACGTTCTCACATGCCATTGCTCACAAAACTGGAAAACTGAACAACTTATTCAGGAGGACAAGGAGCAACCCCCTTGATGACATCTTGACGGCAATGCCTGTCCATCAAATCCAGAAACCTCGCAAGCTCCTGAACAAATTCCCAGGCGCATACTCGATGCAATGAAACAATTCAAGCTTGAGGGTTCCCTGTGCCCAAAAGACGATGGCTGAGCTTCAAGGCTTCAAGAGGAAGTCGGGAGCAGTGGGAAGTAGTGTTGCGTTACCTGCAACCTCGTCTGAATGACTCTGGCCCTGCCACACCGCCCGTTACCTGCTCATACCTGCTCAACCTCGTCTGAATAATTCTGGCCTTGCCACACCGTTCGTCACAGCTGTGGACACACTACTGTCATAAAAGCCTACATCTTGTCACTCAAGTTTTTGGGTTGCAAGGCTAACTTGACTGTCCGTCCGACAGGCGTATGAAGCCCGAGAAACCATTGGTCGCATTATCAGCGATCGAATCTCCAAAGAAGTGTATATAGTGCCGGTGTAATTTCCCACCCTTCGGAAGCCCACTGTTCCCGGTGCTCCTCACAGGAGCTTGGGTCACTGACGTCTGCACAAAGAAGGACAGCGACCGCGCCGTTGTAAAGGGCGGCTTCAAGGTCGTGCTCAGCATCGTCGCCTACTGTACGAGCAGCAGCGAGAGTTCTGGAGGTGTAGGGAGATACAAAGATCCGTAGGGAGTGGAAAAGAAAATCGAAACGACAATGTCATCTAGGGAACGAGTTTAGGGTGTGGTTTGTTTGGTTGAACCAAGTGAGACTATGTTTTTTTTTGTAGCACTACAGATGATATGTATATATATATATAGAGATATAGCGGGCTATGGCATGCCCCAAAATACTACTCTGGCAAGAAACGCGGCTGACAGTGACATGCATTATTGTCTTTTGGGCAATGCCATAATCATGTGAAGGAGATACTTACTATGGCTGTGGATAACCCTTGTTACATACCCTTTGTTGTTACATTCCTTTGTCGCAAGTGCTTGGTACGGGCATGCCCCCCCTCTCCCCCCTCAAAAAACAATGTCGCAAAAGTGCTTGTCGCACGGCAGGAAATTCTGCTACAAGCCTGTCGCGAATGGCCGAGCAAGCCTCTTATACACCTGTTTGTTATTCACAGCCAGATGAGAAACTCAAAATTGGAAACCGCACTTCAGCGCCAAGCTGTCTAGCATTACCATACAGATGTTTGCCGGCAGTTCTTTTTCTTGAGGCCAGAATCACGAATTAAGCCAGGATTTTTAAGCATGGTCCCTAAACTTGACAACAGATATATACGCCTACCAATTCTCTTAAGGAACCCTACAATTCATACTCATGACAAAACAATGGTAAAACAAACTACTTCAATTGCAGGAGACCTCAGCAAAGTACGCCGCTACACTTTAGGCATGTCCCTTCGCCACAAGACCAACAATTGGCCTTTTCGGCGGCGGCCCTGTGAATCCCAGAGCCGCAAGGTCACGCGCAATGACTCCTTGCTTGACTTGGAGGGCCATTGGGTAGCTAGAAGTGGTTCCCCCTCATTCCTTCGCTGTCAGAACTACCTACGGACCTTGAAGTGTGGGATACTTTGGGAACTTGAGGCTTCCCTTGCCGGCGTTGCAGTATGGGACATATAGTACTCAACAACTTGTAACGCAGGAGGACTAGAACAAATACTGAGTCCTGGACAGCCGAAGCCTATGCGATTGGTACTTTGATCTTTGTGGCCTTTGCCACTTTGAGGACTTGTCCAACGCTGTGGGATCTTGAGGAATGACATGCGAAAAGCATAGAGCTTGAGACCTGGTTGGAGCTTGGCAACTTGAGGCTCAGCTGACTGAGGACTTCTGGGCTAGGCAGGCATATTGTGAGACACAAGTGCTGTCTTTAATAGTAGCACCAGTAGCTACAGCGGACATGGGTTCAACCCTGATTCTGACTCTAGCGTTTTTCCAGGTACCTTCTGGACTCTCGACGTCAAGTAAGATCTCATCAGCTGCAGCAGGAACAAGCCACCAAGCATCCCGTTGCAAATCTGAGCACAAATGGATTACCACCTGTGAGGCATTTGCGGCCAAAGCAGCATCTACGACCAACTTCTTCCTGAGGGGAGAAAAGGACTCCGGAGGCAACTGTTGTAATAAGATATTCTAAAATACAGCTGGGAAGGAAGAGGCTTTCACTGTGACTTGACCGGCACAGTGAACCTAAGCGCAGACCAATCTTATCGCCGTCCAAGCACACAGGCTGCGACAAGGTAAAACAAAGTAAAACCAACTTGTGTCGCAACCTCCACTCATCATATACTGGCTGATTGCAGCCGGAGGCTTGCACAACATGAACGGACCAGACCACCAATGCAACCGAGCTAAACATCCAAGCATCGTCTCCGCATCCACCCCCAGGGTCGGGGATGTTTTCTCCGAAAACTCAAGGCCCAAGAATCTTCTCAAGATGCTCGTCTTTCCAGCACCCCTGAATCAGGACAAGTTTAGCAAATGCTGCTGAGGAACTGTCATACTTCTGGGCATGCACACCAGCTTCAGCTAGAAGGTACAGCAGCTCACGCAGCCCCAATGCTGCAATGTCTCGAGGGTCCCACCAGCACCACCTTGAACATGACATCCTGAAAAGCGCTCGGTAGCGGAATGAAGCTGCAAGTGACAACAATTACCTTGCCCAGGCAATGCACTGACGGTGCCTGCTTGTGGTTATCGTCAGTCCCCATGTTTCTAACCTTCAGCAGCGAGGCGGCGTTCATAAATTTATTCGCTGTTCAGGCATCACACTTAAAGTTGCCCAGCATCCACCCCACTATCCGAGGCCGAGCCAAATCGAAAGCTTCGGTGGGCGAGTTCTAAGAATGCACTGCGCTGCGAACCCCTCCGTTCTTTCATCCCATCAGCTTCCAGAGGCCAAGAGACAGCGTGAGGCAGGCAATGACACTGAAGGGCTTGCGGCTGCCTCAGGCAGCGATCTCTGACAGTTTAACCCATCCAAATGCTTTCCATCCCAAGACGACCGAAGCCTGTTCCATATGGGATCAAATTGATCAAATCCTCCTCTTCGGCAACATGTTCAACGTTGGCCAGGGTGCTTAGCAGATACCGGAAGCACCTCTTCATCTGCCAGGACGCGGCCGAAGAGCAAAAGCTTCAGTCGGCCCCTGAGGTCTTTGTCCCATGCCCGCTATTGGAGTGTCTAAGCGTGTCCCTTACTACGTTGGGAACTTGAGGATTCCCAGAACGCTCATGTCGAAAAAGCAACTTTTTCAAAACCATGAGCTTGGAAGATAAGAGTTAAGAGGTTGCTACAAAGAGATTGCTGGACCAGACTCTCCAGCAGTTCGCTTTGAGTTGGATGCTCAGGCATGAGGAAACTTGAAGCTAAATCCTTAGGGCTTTTCGCGGATTCAGACGTCAAGACAAATTCAAGACATCATGTCAACCTATGTCGTACTACATACAAGCGTGTAGAGAGTCAAGCGGCTGAGCCTCAATTGAGGTCCCGCAAGAAGAATCTCCGATATCTTGAACACCCTTCCCCTTGTAGTCTCTGCAACCCCTTCCGACGATAACCTCGTATGATCGCATGGGCAGTTCTGACTATACAAGGTTCCCCCTGCACTTCCCCCCCCCAATACGATAATGCTGGTCGTTGCGTTTCGAAGAAGGGGTCCCCTCTTTGGAAACCCTCATATGAGCAATCTGGACTTGCTGAGGGAGCTGAGGGCCCTGACGGGCGGACGTGCGGTGTCAGTTCCTTCCACAGCCGCTTTTTCAGCTGCCGTGTAGTGATGTGGACCTGATCATGACTCGGAAGCAGCTGCAAGAAGAAGAAGAAGAGATGCTCAGGTGCCATCTTGATAAGCAGCTGAGGGTCTCAAGCTCTAGCAGCTACGGACGTGTTTCTTAACGCCTGTTGCATAATCAGCATTGTTGAGCAAAAAGCACACACCCCATGAATATCCGTTGCAGTGATGGTTGACAACCGAACCCAAGCTGTTCCGGGCAATCATCTTCAGCACTGCGCCTGGGGCCTGGGGCGTGGGTGGCAAAGGAACCTACAACATGCCGTTTCAAATCTTAACACATGTCAAGCGGAACCAGGAGCACAATGCAAACGCCAGGCAGCTTACACATGCTACAAGACGTCATCAAACCGCCCCGTTTACCAAGCGGGATTCCATCGGGATATAAAACCCCCATGATGAAGAATCAACTGGAAAATGCAATGGATAGTGACATGGGAAATGCGATTGCACAGTCTTTTATAGGAAGCGTGTCATGCCGGCCCATGTCGCCTCAGGCCCGACAGGAACGCTTATCTCAAGCCACCTCCAAAAGGATTGAAGTAGCACCCTCATTATTACATTACAGACATTGCTCCATTCAGCTTCCATTGCTGTAAGGGCCTTAAGATGTAGGTCTTTCTGAACATCTGGGGCCCGGCGATGTACCACCAAACTCGTGCAGTCCCTAGCAGGTAGAGAGGAATAAAGGGGCCCCATAACCACTATATAATCCTTACATAGCTCGTAGATGGTGTATCTATGCGCCTAGAACCCCTATACATCTCTATGCGCTCTGTCAGCCAAGGTGCTGGAACCTTGAGGCGCACTTCAGCTTCGCTGGGCCTTCAAGAACTTTCCAGAAACTGGATAAAAAAAAACAGCTGGTGTGGACTACTGTTGGGGACCATGGAGTTCCGAAATAAACTATATCCCCCTGATAAGCCCACTGCTACCATGTAGTACAAACCAGTGGTAACCTCAATCTTCCACAAAGTTGATAAGCATACTAAGAAACACCAGCGCTATGACTTGAGCGATTTCCAAGTGTGGAGATTCCTTGGGGAGATTCGAGGCGGCAAGGATTTTGTAAGGTTTAGATGGGGTGTGTAATAGGTCATGAAGGAAGTCCCCACGTGTGCGTTGACATCCAAATGGGGGTAAGATGAGCTTCAACATGCAGCAGAACGCATCCCCCTGAAATCACTACATAGCCCCTACACAATACAGGTTTCCATATCCTGTTCCATTTGATTCCTTTCCATTACTCTCGGACTGTGGAATCCCCTTTATCACTCTCCAAACCCTAAGCCCTGAACCCCCAAGCCTAAACCGCAAACCTTTCACCCTGAACCCTGCATCCTACACCCTAAACTGCAAACCCTAAATGTAGGTCCCAGGCTGGGTGGTGATGCAGATCTCGACCTTTGGCAATCACTACTCTGGCCAACAGCTCTGCCAATGATGAAGGGGCCCAAATAATTCCCAACATGATTTCTCACTCTATTTGAGGCATGTATGTAGTAATCAATTAAACTAGGATGATACGAGTAGGTATTCGGCTTGCCACATAGGCCTTTCCATGTGATTGCATGCATTCTGGTCTTCGACGTTACGGTCTAATGTCTAATGCCAGCTGCTTTTCCAGCCCTGAATTTTTGCACGTGTCAAAGAACGGCTGCCCCGCTCATAGTTATCATTTGCATGGTCATCATCATCATCATCCTTGTCATCATCATCCTCATCATCATCATCATCATCACCCGCGTCATCATCACAAGCAATCCTGTGGCCTAGACTCATACAGCGTCCGTGGGTTTGTGCCCCCTGCCCAGTATGACCACAAAGTTTAAGGATAACTGGTGATCTCATCACAGTCCCATTCCGACACACTCCCGTTATAGCGCTACTACTGGGCGTAGGCCTAACTCGAGGTTTGGGGCTTCCTGGTGAAAACCTGACTGGCGAAGGAGGTACCAGGCCTGTTCGGCAGCCTGGCGCGGGCTTGTTGCCTGCAGCAGGTGTATCACACTGGATTGGTTGTTCGTGCAAGTTATCATTTCCCCCTTATGCAGGCCAACTATTACAATATATCGCGGCATCTATCTTGTAAATGAAAAACTCAAAAAGAGAATCACAACCTTGAGAGGCTCATAGGCGCTTCCAACATTCCTACAGAGTTAGACTGAAGCGACTGAGCCAGGAATGTAAGACTGCGCCCCTTTTTTCTCGTGACCTTACTCCAAACACTGGCCAGACTTTCCTGGCATGCGCAGTGTTCGGAAGCTCCCCTGTTGAGTTCCCCGAAAGCCAGGCTGAAGCTTGGTAATCTTCGCTGAGTAGACACAGACATCCTCATAGACTAGCCAGCCACCCTTACCCCACTTACAGGGGCTAAGCAGGGAATCAGGGATTATAATCCCTATATAACCCCTAAGTACTATATTCCCATATTCCCTGCTGAGAACCAGTAAGCCTCTGCAGGACTGGGCTGCTGCACTTCTAAGCTGAGCCTGCGCTAAGCTCAGCTCCCCGAATTTCCATCGCATGTCCGCTTATGACAATGGACATCGATCCCCTTTGAAAGAATGCAACGCAAAGCCGCGCATCCGAAACAGCCAGCCAAGTCAACATCTACCTTTTGAACACAAGATGTGTGTCATTAAATCAAGTCATGGTGCAACCAAAGTCTGACTGCGAGCGTGGAAATGCATTCGATCCGAACATGGGGGTTTCAAAACTTGGGGGTCCCCTTTCCTTTGACAGTCCTTACAGCCCTACAATCAGAAGTGTGGTATTTGGGGATCTCTCACCAGGACCCCCAATGTTGGAAACCCCGTATTGCAAGCAGATCACAGCATACAGCTGCGGGGCGCCGCTGCCATCACATGAGAGTTTCCTGCAATTAAGCAGTCCCTACAGTACAAGTAAGAGGTTATCACATTTTAAGGTTCCAGTTTTTCGAAGGTCCCAATACTAAGGATCATAAGATGATGGAGTCGATATTGGGCCCCCTGTCTCTGGAAACCATCACATGTCAGAGAGGCGCGAGGATCTGAGTATCTCAGGCACATCTCGAAGGCTCGTGTCTGAGTCATGGGAGCATCTTAGGAGTTCTGCAAGTCGCTCCATGGTCATGTCCTCCTCGTGTCCTAAGTTGCAAACTAAGAGCCTCCCCTTCTGTGTCCCTATCTATATCTATATCTCGGCCATAGTCGGATAAGATCTGCACACCACTTTGCAATGCATCCGAAGCACGCCCATCGCCAGGCGGCAGAGTTGTATGTGACATGTAGAATTGGCGCAGGTGCTTGTGGAAGTCCTGCAAGGACCCCCTTAATATGAGACATTCTGAAGGTACGCAGTACTAAGAAACTGACCGGGCTCTGGTTGATTTCTCGTTAATACGCCTCCTGTTTTTGCAAAGGGCATCGGTTTTGAAGAGCTCTGGGTGAAGCATTCAGAACTAGCTGTTGCTCCAGGGGCTCAAGATAATGAACAGTTCTGGGCAACAACATTTGGAAAGTCACATTATCCCTTCCTAAACTCTCAAATTTAGTTCTTGCTGCAGGCTGGAACGGCTGGGTCTGACTCCTTATTTTCCTCATGAGGCCTCAGGGGATTTCATATGTCACTCTGAAACCTTCCGTATCACCGAAGCTTTGACTCACTGACTAACACGAATTCTACTTATACCTCGACAAAATGCCACTTCTACTCATACCAAGACATAAGCTGAATCTAAACATGCAGGACAGGTGGACAAGGGCTGGTTCTGATGGCCGATGTCAGCTCTAAACCCTTACATCCTGAACCTAAAAACCCTCAACCCTAAACCCAAAAACCCTCAACCCCCCTTTTTAAAGGGAGCTCTGGCGTCCTCCCAGGCTTGGATCTGCTCTGCCATCCCAGTGCCGTGCACTTCACGCTTCAAACGCTCCTTCACGAAGGTTTAAGGTTTAGGGGTTTAGGGGTAGGGTTTAGAGTGTAGGGTTAAGGGATAACATTATATGAAGACTATAGAGGGGTTATTTTGGGTTCAGAGTTAAGTTGCCAGAGTGGAAAAAACAAATGCAAAATGCAATGGAAACTACAGGGGCTCCACAGGGGTTACAAGGGCATCTATAAGAGGAGAATAAAAAGGTGTTTGTCAAGGCCAACAGGGGCATTTTAGTCAAGTAATCATGAAGAATGAAGATGGAAATGAAAGGCAAAGTTATGTTGGGGTTTAAAAGGGATGTACTCACACGATGGTCTTATCAGGGTTTAGGGGTATTGGTTTCTGTCCGTTTGAGAATCGTACACTAGGCAAACTCCTCCAGTATGGGGCTTTTGGTGACCCCAACCCCTAAAACAAGGACCCCATTATCATACGACTCTTACAGTAAAGGGTCTTCATCCTCTGGGGTTGGTTGCCCAGATCCCCTTACATCCCTACAAAGTGGTTCTGAGATCCTGGCAGAAGAATGGTGTTGGGAGCGTTGTTACAGCCACCCCCTTAATCCCCTCAAAACAGAAAGCGAAAAAGCACCAAATGAAGGCATGTGTGGGATTGAAGTTGGGGGAACCCTAAACCGCGGAAGGGCAGTCAGGGCAGGTACTAAAGCATCCCATACTTTGGTCTCACTTCCTTTGCTGAGAGGCAGGGGCCGCCCAAGTGAGGATTGAATCTTACCTACCCTACCCCCTTACCCAAGATGGTGGTTTCCATTTTTCCATTTCCCCTACATGACCCTATTTTCTCCTGTGTTATCCCAATATTACCTACCCCCTCCCAGACTAGGATTGAAGGATTATTGGACCGCAGCCGCTAAGCAGGCACCATAAACAGCCCAGGCTATGGACCTCCAAGAGCAACACCACCAAAAAAAGTGGGACAAGAAGCTCTTGCACATCGAGACCTGACTACATGCTTGTTGTAGATTGTCTTAATCTATAGTGCCCCTTAAGCGGATAGAATATGGCTTTGGGTATATTATGACAAGATCCCCATATACCCCATATTCCATCTACCTAAGGCGGACTAGACCCTAGACCCTAAAGCCTAAATAGCAGTTTCGATTTTCTTTCCATTATCCCAATATGACCCCAATCTAACCCCAATCTACTTAAGGGTGGCTCCAACTTAGGGATTCTTCCAGATTTCAAGTTAAGCTCCTCTCGCAGAGAGCTCTGCATCTCGGATCGAATGCCCTGCGCACATTCATGATGCAAGTAGGGTGGATTTCAATTTGAGCTTAGGAATGGGCTTAACATCTGTGTCGCCTTTTTTGACTTATTCAAATGCAAGACCAAACGAAAGAAGCGCCACCGCATCTCAGGGGCAAAATATGTTCCGGTGTGAAAAGATACAGTAGTAGCATAAACAGCATGTAGAGTAACACGGCACCACAACATCAGAGTCATTAGAGAGCACTTCGCGCGACACTTGCAACTTCAACCGTTTCATAATTACTGCATAGAAATGTTTCAAGATAACACGTAGAAAAGCTCGAATACGCGTCCCACAGCCATAGCGCTCTCATGATATGTCCCTGGTGCCCCAGAGCCATGTCTGGGAATGCCTGAAACACAACCCTAATCCCTGAACTCCAATCCTTATACCTCGAATTAAACCCTAACCCCTAAACCAAGTGGCTGACCTGTAGTCCAGCATCCAGGTTGGACTCCAACTCCTGAACGGGTCCGAGGTCATCGAACTCCATAATCGCAGTGGAGGGTTGCTCAAAATTGGGGCACCCTAGGCACCGAAACAATAGATGCCGCTTCCACAGCCACTGCCAGCAGCAAAAGAGTCTCACTTCCATTGCTCCATGCGTCACCCGGTTGTGATGGCCGGTTGCTTGGTACTTGCCACAGCCGTAGGCCCCTAACATCCATTGGCGAATTACTGACACCGAGAAAGCAAACATGCCAAATCTGCGCAACTCTTACGGAATTCCCTGGAGCCCAATATTTGTCGAGGCTTTCATTGGATTCGATATACCCCAAATGCAGGACACTGCCACTTCACCAGTTTTAATCAAGCCCACGGGAGCATAGTCCTGTAGCTGCCCCTGCAAAGTTCGTACGTTGCCCTTTGCCTCCCGCCAGTCCTCGCGAAGTGCTTTAAACTACAATGGAGATGTCTTCAAGGTTCTTCAAATAACTATATAGCATTATCCCTATATAACCCCTATATAGTTACTATACAGTAGTTTCTATTTTCTTTTCCATTATCCCTATATAGGAATCATGAAAAGGTGTGTGTGTGTGTATACGAAGAAGAATTCGGATGATGACTTGAGTTGGGGGTTTGTTGAGGAGTGGTGCTACAACTACAAGCAGAGGAAGTTGCGCCTTCAAGCCCCCACGGTGACTAAATGCTGTAGCCTCCAAACATGCACGCAGACTAACAGATCTGAGATCTTGAAGTTGAAGTGCTGCCTGCCACGGAACAAGACGACTAAGAGGTCTTACGATCTAATATACGGAGTTCTCAAGACCCGGCACAAGTCAGGCCTTGCAAAAGGACCTAGAACAACAACCGCCATAAGAAGGAATCAATACTTTGAAGAACATGAGTACTGCTGATCTTAAGAAATCCCGCATGACCTAAGTATACCATAATTCCCAATGTTTACGGTACCTGGGGTCATGAAGGATTTTGAGGATCCACCGTAGGACTTGCAACTGGAATGATGGAAGAGCGGCGTGAAGGCTCTGGTACCGCGGCATTTCGCCAACAAGCCGAGCAAAGCACTCATCCTAGCAATTAGTAGCCCTTCGCAGCTTTTCGGGTGGCGCATTCTTGGGGGTATATGGGGGTTTCCCAAAATTAGGGGTACCTTTTTGGGGGTCCCCATAATAAGGATTATAGTATTTTAGGGTCGATATTGGGTTCCCCTTATTTTGGGAAACTACCATATATCCCCAAACCCCAAACCCTAAATTGTAATTTTCTTGTCCATAATACTGTCCGAAGCCATCTGTCAAAGGTCAACAGAGAGCTTCTCTAGTTCAAGGAGATCTA